AGAGGGATGCTTATCGCCAGGCATTTCGCGCCGCAGTGCTAGCACCTCCATAAATATCTTTTCTGCCTCGTCGTACCTCCCTTGACTGTGGTATGTTGTTGCCAGGTCCGCCATGCTCTGGATCGTATCGGGATGCTTGGCGCCGAGCACGTGTACGATTTGGCTATTACGTGTAATAGCTTGGGCCGGTACAATGAAGCACTGGCGATAATGGACGATTGCGTCCGGTTATGGCGCCGCGTCCTTGGTCCGAACCACCCTTACACACAAGATTCTCTACATGTGTTGAATTCGTGGAAAAGAGATTAGCAGAAGGCGGCATATGGACTGGCAGCGGTAGATACAATGTTGTCCGTCCTTTGGTTTTCATATACGGCGTGCGGTATATAACCTTTCATGGCGGATTGCGTACGCAACGTTTCGCGACGCCGCTTTCTACCCTGGCAGCTCCCCTGCGCGGCCCTGTCCTGGAGCGCCCTGAACTAATACTGGGGATTTTGGCGTGGACGAACCTGAGGCGCAATGCGCTCGTGGTAGGGCGCCGCCACTGCATTCTGCCAGCAACCCGGAGCTCCGTTGCTCCATCCTCCTCCGCCGTAGACCTTACCCATGCGACGGAATGGGGCTCACGCACGGCTGAAACCGGGCCAAACATCCAAGTATTATGTCTTTCCAACCAGAGCTACTAACAAATTCTATATCGGCGGATAAAAGAGTGCAAGGAGCGACAGATTCGTCGGGATATATGGCGTGTGCAGTCGTGACAACCGCCAGGAATGAAGCGCGATGCTCCTAGTTCTCCACCCGGGTCCGGACCTAGGACAGGGGCGCAACAATCCAGAGAAGGACCAGCCAGTGCAAAGCCCTCCAGGTAGCCCTTCTGATCTTTTTGCAGTAAATAGATTTCTTTAGTAGACAAACTTCAACGCTACTTGCTGCATCCCTTGGGTTCTGCTCCCACGAGCCTGCCCGTCTGGCATCCATCAGATACAATCCACCCAAACCTCGGGTCAAATTTTAAGGATTAAAATAATCTTTTTCTTAGGTGGCTCCGCTGTGCCATCGCTTGCCTCAGACGTCCTTTGTTTATGTGTAACTAGCTTGATCCGCTTCTTTTTTCCGCCGTCCAGCGGGGGATCGTGTGGGGAAGTCGGCGCAGGAGGCAGCGCGACATCGGAGTTGGGCAGCGGGAGGTCGACGTTGTCCTCCTTGCCGTCGTGACCAGCTCCGAGGAAATCACCACCCAGCGCGATCTGTGCCATATCGTTGGTAAGGCCGGCTGGGTCGCTGTTGCTGCCGCCGTCGCCGCCTGGACTGCCGTACATTTGTAGGGGCGTATCATGCCTCTCTTGGCAGAATATCTCTGCTGGGTTCACATATGGGAACGGGGCAAGGCCAGAGGCTATCGCATCCGCTGGCGGGGGGGAATAGGGATCGTCGCTTGCGGGATCGGGAACCGACAGTATCGAACCTGGTGGACCCTGCCCCAGAAGCATCTCGGGATCCTGTGGATTTATCGTCAGCATTCGATCCTGTTAAAATTCCCGTATTCCATGCTATTGAAATTCCCATGGAATGTTGCTTACAATCAAGGCAGGGCACTCTTCCACTCCGTTGTCCAGAGACGATGGCGAACTAGGCAGAACATCGCCGCTTCCAGCGTCTTCGTCCTCCGACCAGCCCTAGATCTGGCAACCGCCGGGCGGGGACACGCGGCCTTCGAGTGGCGACGGCAAAGACGCAGCAGCCGCTGGATGTCGACGCGCTGTTTGGGCCGTTTCATCAACGAAGTGGTAGGTGTCGACCTTGGCTTCCCTGTCAGGCTCGACGCTTCGCTTCCGCTGCCTCTTGGGCGGTGCCAGTTTCACGTCATCCTTGTCTTCCAGCTCCAGCGAGGTTGACTCCTTGACAAAGTCTCGGCAGTGGGCGTCCAAAAGATGGAATTTGAGATGCTTCACGGAATCGAAGGCGCCATCGCATCGACTGCTGGGATGAGGGCAGGTGACCGGATTCTTGTCGTCGACAGCTTGGACGTATCGTTCGTAATGATCAAAGACGTGGTCCTTCCATGGACATCTGTCCAGGAACTGACGAAGTCGCAGCTCGGGGGCCAGCGATTTGTCGGTCATGCAGAACACGCAGTAGCCGGCGGTGGCAAGCACTCCACCGTACGGGACCCTGGCCGGCGGAGGCGCGTCTCGAGCCAGGCGCGCACGGATCCCTCGCGGCACGCCTCGCGGAAGTAACCGTGCGTGTCCGTGAGTTCCTTGGGCACGAGTAGCGGGCGGAGAGGGTCACGGAGGTGGAGGAGGAAGCGAAGGGGCGGAGGGAGAGGA